CAGAACCAATTTACTTTCTCCTAACTGCCACCCTGTGAACACACTCTCCACTTACTTTCCATAAAGACCTCACAGAAGAAGAAAATATTCCCGTATGATTCCTTTTTTAAAGATATACTTAAAAGAAAAATAATAATTTTGGAAGGGGTAAATGCACTCTTCCAAAGACCTCAGTAATAGCCTTCAGATTTCACAGCAAGGTGAGTGGCTCCATATACACTCACCAAAAGCAGTTGCTCTAAGCCATGAGAAAAGGTAGGGAGGCTGCAAGTAAAGACAGATTTACAGCAGTCCATGCTTGATGGCTTGAAGGAAAGAAGAGAAACGGCTGAAGAGCCCAGAAGCTGCTGAAGCCATTGCAAACAGCAGGATTACTTTACCAAGGTGGAACAGGGCAAAAAATCTTGAAAGCAGCCAATGGTGACAGAGAACAAATTTACTGATCTGGACCCTAATTGCCCAGAGCTCTCATGGCTAGTGCGATCTAGGCAACAGTGATGACAAAATGGTCAAGGAACTGCTGGGTAGCAATCTCTTTCTTCAATTTAAGTCCCTCAGTGACACACATCTTCCAGTGCTGCCTGCCTACACCAAGATAAACAATGATCTTTTGAATCTGGCCTAATGCATTTAAATGATTCAAGCCTTGCCTGTTTTTATGGCTATTTTCTCTTCCACTGCTAGCCTAGCAAGCCTATACACACTTCTCCCTGATTCTCTCTCTAGATTCACCCCTCAAATTCCATTTCCTGCTCATGAAGACCCTTCTTTCTGTTCCCAAACATGCTGCACCCTCCCTGAGCCCTCTACAGGAAGTCCAGATTCCATGTAGCTCTACCACGTTGGCAAAGAACCCCCATCACAGCATTTACCAAGCTCAAATGTGTCAACCATCTTGTCCCAGCAGTGCTTTTAGGAGGGTCACTGCCAGCCACATTCCACTTCTGTACCACCTCAGAGAGCACAGGCAAGAGGAAGTCAGGAGTTGGAGGGGGACTATCCTTATGGGAACAGCCTACCAGCTGGTGGTTACAACCTAAGGATACCACCTCATCCCAAAGCTGTCACTTTATAGAAGACTAAGGATGAATCCCCGATGAACAGGAGCCATTTGGAGGGGTGGTAACAAACTGAAAGGACCACAGTGTTTAGGAGTCCCCAGGGCTGCCCTCCTTGTTCTCTTAAACTCCCTCACAGGCACACAGCTCATAACTGGGCTTCAGCCCTTGCCCAGTACAAATTCCCAGTCAGGAAGGCTAGCATCTCTGGTAAGAGCAGCCCTCAAAGCAAAATAACCAGACATCTGAGGAGCACCGGTACTGCAGGAGAAAGGTAATGTGCTGACCACACATAAAAGGAAGCAGAATTACTAGGACAGAACAAAAACTTAATTAGCATAATAAGTATCCCCAAGGGATAAAGGAAGAGATACCAACTAAGGACAAATACTACCAAAAAAAGGCAGAAGTTGAAATAAAGAACACAATAGCTAAGGCAAACAGCATGATGGATGCAAGAACAGACCAGAGCAGTGTAATAGAAGGGCAGAGAGAGGAACGTTCCCAGGAAGATGCAGTGACAAGCAAAGGACAGTGACACAGAAATAAAAGCAGAGGTTCTAATATCTAGACAACAGGGTACAGGAAAAAGGGGGGAAAACAAACATAAAAGAAAGGAAAATATTTTAATAAAACTGAGCATTCATTTGCCAGAATTAAAAACACATGAAGGGCCACAGGTTAAAAGTTCATAAATGACTAAAGAAGATACATAAGGCACATTATACGTGAAACTTACGAATATCAAGATTAAGAGCAAATTCTAAAAGAATGTAGTAAGAGGGCTGGGAATGTTCCTCAGTAGCAGAGCATTTGCCTCATATCCATGAAGCCTTGAGTTCAGACCCTAATACTACCCCTAAAAAAGATTAATATCAAAATCTCAGTAAGACAAGGAAGCAATATTGCAAAGCATTGAAAGAAGAGAACCTTGACTATAGCCTTATCAAATACAAACTGTAATAAAGATATTTCCAGGTATGCAAAGCCACTAAAGGCTTGCTACATGAAAGATCACTCTGAAAATACTCACCCAGAAAGTACTCAAATAAAAAGATAAATCGTGAAAAAAAAAAAAAAGATAAATCCTGGGGCCGGGATTTAACTCAGTGTTGCTGCTGCCTGCCTCACAAGTGCAAGGTCCTGAGTTCGATCCCCAGTACAAAAAAAAAAAAGATAAATCTTATAGGATAAGGTATATGGAAAATAAGGTAGTCAAATAGCGCTTAATAAACTTTGTTGTCTAAAAACAATTAAAAATGGAAAAGATAGCAAAAATTTCAGAATTAAAATGCTAGACAATGACACAATTAGAATGAGGGCTGGGGAGAAAGGGAAAAACTCAAAGTGCATATGAACTGATAATGTATTTCTATTATCTGATAAATAACAGGCTTTAATAATTTTAAAAAGAGCAGGAATAAATAAACACAATTTTGGATCAAAACAAAAATGTAATTTATTTTAAGTGACAAGACAAAAATTATTATCTATCATTAGAAAGCAATAAATGAGGAAAAAACAAGAAAACAAGGCATAGAAAGGGGAAAAGTATTAAATAAGATGTCTCAACAACTCCTAATAAAACAATCATTATAATAAGTATAAATAGATTAATCTTACAAATTAAGGCCCTCCAATGTGAGTTGTACATTATGTATGAGAAACAAATATCTAAAGGGCAGAGTGGAGAAAGAACATATAAACCAAAAGAAAGGTAATATTGGGCACTATATATTGGAAAAGCCACAAGGAGTAAAAGATGTGATCATTCATATTATATGTACCTAATGATATAACCTCAAATATATAAATACATAAAGTAGGAGCTGATAAAGGACAGGTAAAGAGATTAAATGAATGATACACTGAAATATTTTAACTACTTTCAGAAATTACTAAAACAGGCAGAACAAAAAAATAAAAATAAGAAAACAAAAATAAAAGTCTAAATAATACACCAAACATATTCAAGCAAGTAGATACATAAAAGGATTTATACCCTTGGAATATGTGATTATTTAATTACATTCACTATTTTTTAAAAGTAACTATACAGTAAGCAAAAGCCTCCGAAAATTCCAAAAACACGATGTCACTGAGATTATCTCTGACCATAAAATTAAAAAACTATTATGAAAATCAAAGCTTAAAAACATTCCATAAGGCAAGAACTTGGCTAAAAAGAAAAATCTAAGATAATTTTTTAAGTAACATAGAACTGTCAGATGTGATATGTTTATTTACCAATTCCCCATGATGACTGCATTCATTGTGTAATACATATATTAATATAAAATTTCATGAAACAAAAAATAACAGAATTGAGTGACAACAAAAACACAGTACGTGAGATTGGTGAGACACAGCTCAAGCATAACTCCCACAGGAAAAACCTATAAATACATTCCTTTTCTTTTCTTTTCTTGTTTTTTTTAAGATAAGGTCACACTATGTAGTTCAGGCTGGCCTTGAACTATTGTAGCCCAGGCTAGTCTTGAACTCACAGAAATCCCGCTGCCTCAGCCTCCTGAGTTCCCGGATTATAGGCATGCACCACAATGCCTCGCTTTGTTTCATTCTTTAATGCTGAAATAAACAGCCACCCAAACAGAACATAGAAAGCTCTTTCAATCTATACAGATATCTTCCTGGTGCCTACTGGACCCTCTAACCTCAGATTCATAAGAGACCAAATATCACGCTGTCAATAATAAAAATCTAAAGGGAAAAGCCATCAGGGAATGTCACACTCACTACTTCCACAGCTGGGCAGGAGGCCTACCCAAGCCATCAACCAAAGTATACTCATTGTTAAGAAAAATAGCCCTCAAAAGCCCATGACTTTTTGATCAGTCATTAAAATGGATATAAAAATTAACAGGCATTGTGGAATGGAGTATTTCTGTCTAAGGCTTGGGCATTCGACTTTCAGGCTTTACCTGATCTGTCATCTGCTGTGTGACATTAAAAATACCTTCAGAGAATGGCTGCCATCAAGAAATCAGCCAATAACAAATGTTGGTGGGGTTGTGGGGAGAAAGGACCCTTCTCCATTGTTGGCGGGAGTGCAGACTGGTGCAACCACTATGGAAATCAGTATGGAGATACCTCAAAGAGCTGGGACTAGAGGTTCCATTTGACCCAGCCATCCTTCTGCTGGTATCTTTCCAAAAGAATTAAAAGAATCACACCAGAGTGGTATATGCACACCCATATTTATAGCGGCACAGTTTGTAATAGCTAAAACTTGGGAAAAGCCCATTTGCCCATCAGTTGGAAACTGGATAAAGAAGATGTGGTTTTTCTATAAAATGGAATACTACTCAGCCATAAAGAATGAGAAATTAGATTCATTTATAGGAAAATGGATACATATTCAGGATATACTCCTAAGTGAAATAAGTAAGTCACACATGTGTAAATACCAAATAGTTTCTCTGGTGTGAATAAACTGTAATAGTACACAAATCTTTTGCTCATATTTTCATCAGGTAATTTATTTTTTGTTGATGGAGTTTATGAGTTTCACATATACCTTGAATATTAACTGCTTATCATTGTATGGTGTTATTCTTTATATAATATATATGTGTATGTATACATTTTTTCTCTTTTTCTATCGGCTACATTTTCATTTAGTTGATTGTTTCCTTTACACTTCAAGAAATGTTTAAATATTTCTCAGATGTTTATTTTGCTTTTGTTCCTTGCACTTTTGGTGTCAATCTAGAAATTATTACTAATATCAATGTTGTGGAGCTTTCTTCCCTCCTCAGATTTATTCTAGATGTTTTATAGTTGTAGCTAAAATGTTTAAAATAACAATTTTTAATTTTATTTATATTTACAAAGGAAATAAAATTATTTTTAAAAATTTTTTTACATACCCTCAAACTGATGTGGATGTCACAAGAATAAAACAAATTTTCAAATAAGTACCTGATATGGTAAGTCAGCCATCCTTAAATAAGTTTCCATTTTCAAACAGAACGGAGACAAGCTGGGGACACCATTGTTAGGTCTTGCAAACTGATGCAAAATAATAGCATCCTTGGAGTCAATCTCTTGTTGCTTCCTGTCAAAGTCAAAACAAAAAGAACAATCTGCATGTGAAGTGTTCATTTCCCTTAGTTCTAGAGAGGACCCTGCAGAGCCATAGTCCCAGTGGAACATGCAGCAGGGTTTATCGCAGAGAATCACAGTACTTCACCTGGGACAGCAGATGGAGCTGGTTAGCGTGAGAGAGCTGTACAAACTGTGAGATTGCCATGACCCAGTGGCTCACAGAAGTAACTACGAATCACATTCCTCTGATACCTATGGGCAGGGGGCATCTTTTCTGGGCCAGATAACCTCTTCTCCAGCTGCCAGGCTCAAGGTGGATGGGTAAAAATGATTATTTTGTGCTTACTACGTATGTATCACAGAGTCCTGAGATTTTTAAATAGTATTAAACTCACTTCATCTTCGTAAAATACGTGTTTTATAGATGGGAAAACTAGGGCACAGAATAACTGGTTCAAAGTCACACTGCTAGTAAATGGGAGAACATGGACTAACCCAGGTAGTCAGTGCCTATGTTCTTGGCCATTACAGTCTCTATTGTCAAGGAACAACGGAGATTTACTGTGCTACGACCCAAGTCCACAGGGAATGTGGAACTCTGAACACTCTGGTCCCTCTCCGAAGCTGCCTGTGTCCTCACCCGGCCTTTCGCCTGTGCTGGTGGAACACGGCTTTCGATCACTCTCTCTTCCTGTCTCTCTCCCTGTCTCTCTCTCTCTTTCCTTCCCTCTTTCCTGTTTCTGTCCCTCCTCCCTCTCCCCCTCCGTCTCCCTTACATCCCTCTCTCATTTCCCCCTCCCCTTCTCTCTTTCCCATCCTCAGTCTTCACAGGGCATACACTTTGGCCGCACAGCATATATTTTAATGTCCCTGTTTTTCTCCTTTCTTCTGTCTAAGCCACACATCCATCTTCTCCTGTGCCTATTTCTTGGGGTGAGGGCAACTTCCATGGGCAGATCTGAGTAGCCACCATGTAGTGAAACAAATGCTAGATTTCACATCTGGACACTTGGGGGGAAGGACAAGCCCTGTTTCCTATCAGCCACATCACTCCAGACCTCTCCACCTCCTTTCATCTGAAGCATGAGGACAGTACCCATTCTGTATCAATTATCATGTGGATTAAATAAGGTAATATCTGTAATTATGAGCGAGCAGTCAAGCATTACTTATTCTCATCCAAAGAGATATGGTCTAATCCCCTTATACTACAAAATCTCATCATCCCACACTGCCCTGCTTTCATACTCCTCAGGAACCTTCTGCAATTTCAGTTTTTCACTCTATCTAACCATTTATTTTTCACCTAAATTTCACACTTTTCTTTGACCTTCTCTGAGCTTTTGGTTCTTGAGCATGAATCCCAGTAAAATTCTACACCTACTTCTACCCAAGCACAGTTGAGCCCATCACCATCCCACTGATGCTCACTCACTTCAGCCCCTCCATTTAGTAAAATAAATTCTCTTGAGGAAGTTTACCACTGAGGGTGCATTCACCTTAGCTCAGGATGAGTCATTGTGAAAATATCAGTCAAGTCAAAAAATAAAAATATTTGCTGTTTCTCCACCAATATTCACCAAAAACTTTTTTTTTCATTTAGATGAAATGTGTGGAAAGTCAGATATTAAAACCAAGAACTCACCTCAACCATGTTCCTAGACAGTAAACTGTAGACTTAACAATCAAATAACTGATTTTGTCCAGTAAAATAACTTACACCACAAAGTGGTATTTTCATATAGATTAGGAAAGGAAACAAGGGAAAAGAAAAAATATGAGAAAAAAAGAAAGAAAAAATTTAAGAACTCATAGGAGAAGAAATAAATACAAAGTTCCCTGCTCCCTTGGCCAAAACAACCTAGCTCTAATGATTAATTTGGGCTACGTTATAAAAAAAAAATGGGTGTTAATGGTATACCAACCATATACCAATGAGTATATCCACATCACACAAATCAATTTATTAAATTCGGACAATGACCATAGAGAGTATTGTTATTGCTGAAATTTAGGGCATCATGCCATGTTTATGCTTTACAATAGACAAGGAATCTGAAGCTCAGAGAAGTTCAACAACTTGCCACAGAACACCAATTTAACATCAAGCCAGTAATAACTGCAGTTCCCAAGCTCTTAAGCACTTCAAAGACACCAAAATGGGCAATTCCTCTCTTTTATTAACATAGACAGTTTGGCTCAGACCACTCAAGCCATTTGCCCATAACAGCTAGTGATGGCTAACCTTTATTGACTATTTACTACTCAACAAACTGAGCATTTCATCCTGTTACTACATTAAATCAACTCAAGAGAAAGGCTATTATTATTATAATCACTATTTTACAGATGAGAAAACTGAGTAATTAAGAACTTACTCGCACATCGAAGGCAACTTTTGGTTAAAGGGAGAATCTGAATTTTTTTTTTAAAGCTTTTATTTTTTGGTTTTTTTGAGACATTGTCTCACCATGTAGTTGAGACTGAACTGGAACTCACCATGTAGCCCAGGCTGAACTCACAGCTATCCTCCTGCCTCAGCCTCCCGAGTGCTGGGATTACAGGCGTGCGCCACCACGCCCAACTTCAGAATCTGAATTTAAACCCAGACAATTTGGCTCCAGAGCCTACCTCCCACACATCTGAAATCTTCCTGTAGTTTAGGATCAGAGAATCAGGTGTGGGTTGCTTCCTATACAGATGTATTTTATAAAATGGATGTATAAAACAATGCCTGAAGAGTACAAAGTGGCTACTCGTGTAAGACATATACATACGCCTCCTGCCATGACTGAGGGTCTCACAGATGCCAGCCTCTGGGTACACATGATGAGCTGTTACTCTGTGGAGATCAGAAGTTGACCCATCGCCTGCTTTCATTCACTAGGACAGGCTGAACCAGAGCACCAAAGTGCAAATGAACTACTGGTCATGAAGTCATTACTTAGTCATTCCACTTACAGACAACAAGTTTCCAAATGCCAATTGAACTGAAGGGCTGGCAAACCATCTCCACCAGGGAACATAAAGCAGAAGGCTGGGACAACATTTGTTTTTAAATATGGTGGTGGAAAAAAAAAACCCATGTATAAAACCCAAAATATTCCAGAAAAGCCCCCAGCCTCCTCCAAAACTCAAAATATCTGCTTTCATCATAGTCATTGTTAAACATCCTAGTAATTCTTAATTTTATTTTCACCAATCCAGAGACACAGCTATAAAACAAAGTTAAACTGTGCAGCAAAAAGTCTGAGCAGGGCAGGGAAGAGTTTGCAATTCCTAGTGAATTCAGTGTAGTCATTTCAAGGTATATTTTTCCATCCCAAATATTTCAGATTTTGGTTTTTGTTTGTTTGTTTTGTTTCGTTTCACTTCGTTTGCCTAAAATATCGACAACTGAAACTGAGATTTCACCTTAAGTGGAGTTCTCTATCTTGTAACTTCTAAAGCCTCAGTCCTCAACCCTTCTGTCTTTACCCATCCCTCTACCTCTCTAGAAGGTGGCAGAAAACGGGGCCACTGCCACAAGCCTGCCTTCCCCAGGTGATGCCACAGCTCTCCACATTTCTCTTCCCCTTTCCCTAACAAAACATTTCAGAATGGGCACTTCCCAGGAGGTGCCGGGAAAAGTACAGACTTCGTGTGTATATACACATTCATTTTCATTCTTCAATCTGGATCCCACTACTCCTACTGTGTAATCTCGGGCAAGTTGCTTAACCTCCCTCAGCCACAATTTCCTTGTCTAGAAAGTGTGGATGAAGCCTCAGAGTGATAGTCACTAGGGGCAACTGCAATCACATGCTCCATGCAGTCTCTAGAAAGTGCTCAAAAGTGGGCAACTCTCCCCTGCCTCACAAGTGCAAGGTCCTGAGTTTGATCCCTGGTCAAAAAAAACCTACCTCTTTTATAATATTATGACAGAGCTTCCCAATTCATCTTAAGCATTTGTTAAGAAACAAACATGAGAGCCGGGCGTGATGGCGCATGCCTGTAATCCCAGCACTCGGGAGGCGGAGGCAGGAGAATCGTTGTGAGTTCCAGACCAGCCTGGACTACATAGTGAGTTCCAGGTCAGTCTTGACTACATAGTGAGACCCTGTCTCAAAAAACCAAAAAAAAAAAAAAAACAAAAAACAAAACAAAACAAACATGAGCAAAGATTCCTTATCCCAAACAAGTATCCATGCTAGGGCTTGTGGTCCCCTAAATGATGAAGGACCTAGACAGATGTGGGCAGAGAGCTCTCCAGTGGCCAGGGACCACACCTGCCAGAGCTTGGCCTACTCCCTAGTGAATTCTGAGCCCCTTGAATTTCTGCAAGGTCTTTAAGCCATGTGTGAGACTCAGCCCTGGAAAGCCTTTGCTCAGTGGAGAACTGCTGAGAAGCCACATGGCTCAGGACTCTCAAAGGCTTTGAACTAGAATATAATTGAGGGGAAAAATTATTATTGTTTTAAATACTGCAGAAATGCTCTGGTTCCTTAGACAGCTTGAAACCAAACTTGAAATAGAGTTCTGAAACTACCACAAATACTGAATAGTCAAGGGAGACACTACACTTTAAAGTGTTTTATTTGGTTCGAGTAGAATGAACGTACTAGGTTAAGTCAGAAAATTAAATGTATAACAAGCTTAAAATACACGTCTCAATTCTCAATTGTGACTGAATACTATGAAGGCCAACACATTCTCTCATACCTAAATAATTGCCCAGCTTCTCAGACCCAATATTCACGTTATAGTCAGGCTGTTACAATGCCTTCCTGGAATCCCTTCAGGTCCCTTAAAGGTCACCTGCCACTGTCTTTATTATAATCACTTGTGCAGGATATTTCCCCCGGAAAAAAGTGGTGTGAACACATTTCTCCCTCTTCAGAAAATAATGGTCACAAGGGACATCCTGAGCTATTAAAAACTGCTGTGCTTCCAGTAATCTTCCAGTGACCCAGGGCTCAAATGCACGGGAAATTTAACCATGAATTGATGTATCAGTTAGCTAAAGACCATCTCAGTACCTTGTGGTATTACCCTACTCCAAAGAAGATCTCGAGTGGGACTGGATGTACCAACAGCAGGATTCTCTATTTTCTGAAATTTCCAAGTCAATCCTGTAAACGTTCCGCTGCAGCAGATGCAACTGTTTACAGCCCTGGGAGACTCTGCTATGTCGAACACACCCATGTGCTATTCCTGCCCTGGGATGGCCAGCTCACACAACAATGGCATTTAAACTGAAGATGTGCTAAGCATTCAGTACTGGATAAGCAGATAACCTGGTGAAGGCTGCATCAAAACTGCACACCACTGTACTTAGCCGCACATCTTTAAGAGGGACCAGTAGGTTTCTGGAGCTTTGCCGTTGCAGCCTCTTGATGTTGACATTTAGGGAGGGCTAGTGCAGCACTAACCTTTTAAGTAGAAGATGAGGTTAACGATAAGCAAGAAAGCATTTCATGCAAGTGTAACTCGGTACTTCTACAACGCCTAATTCTGCTGCAAATACACGGCACTTAGGATCTTCCCAAGGACATCGCTCAAATTATTTTGCTCAATAACGTCTAGCGACCCAGAGCACTCTGCTTCTAGCACAGAAAGGTTGGGTGGACAAATGTGTTTCCCTCCCACTACCAGTTAATTCTCCAGTCAACTCTAAACTGCCCCTCAAGGCCAGGTGGCCACGGAAGGCCTCTAGAGGAAAAGTAAGGGCAAAATGCTTGAGTTATTTGGGCAGTGTGGCCGAGGGGCTGGCACCGGACCCCTCCCTCCCTTCGTGCCAGCCCTGCCCTAGCCAGGTGCCCCTCTCGGCGCGGTGCGGGGGACCCTCTCTCCGGCTCACCTAATGACCAGGAGTTCGTGGAGCAGATACGCAGCTGCGGCCAGCAAAGCTCCCCCCGTCAAGTAAAGGGTTTTCTTCCACCAGGGATCGGAGCCCAGCCCTGCCATGATCCCACCGTAATCCTGCAAAGGGAAAGCGATGATGTCCCCATAAAAGGAGAAGGGCTCCTCGGACCCGGCCCACCAGCCGAAGAAGGAGACGCTCTGGTTCCAGCTCAGATCCACCACGCAAGGCCTGGACGAGGCAAAGCCGACCCCCCAGTGCATGCTGCGCGGCTGCCTCCGGGCGCCCCTCCCAGGGCCCGC